GAGCCCTAGTCCGCGGGGGGGCGGAGGGCGGGCGGGGCCGGGGGTCAGGGCGGAAGGCGGGCGGAGTTTGGGGCAAAGAGCACGTGGAGTTGGGACAGGGGGCGACCGGGGGCCGGAGGGCAGGTCGGGTCAGGATGGCCAGGATGAGCAGGCGGTCAGAGAAGAGCACAGAGGGCAGGTCGGGGCAGCAGGCAGGGGGCAGTCAGGACGGGGGGTGCCCGTGGTAGGGGCGAGCAGGAACATGCACCCGAGGTGGTCACACTGAACCCCCAGGCTCTCCCTGTTTGCACCAGAACGTCCCAATTACGAGAGAAATTTTGTCCTGAGAGCTGCAAGTTACGTACTGAGATACAAAAGCAGGTGGACAGAACAGCACCTGCAACGAGCCTGCCTCATGCACACATATGCACCCCATGACCACACCTACGTGCACACACATACATCATGACCACAGACACACGCATACCCAGTCACCACACATACGTGCGCGTGCGCGCACACGTACCCAGTGATGACACACAAGCACACACAAACTGTAACCACACATCCACACCCACACGCCCCCCATAACCACACATACACGCGTACCCAGTGACCACATATGTGCACACACACACCGTGACCACACGCCCCCCATAACCACACACACGTGTACCCAGTGACCACACATACGTGCACACACACACCGTGACCACACGCACCCCACGACCACACATACGTGCGTACCCAGTGACCACATATATGTGCACACACACCGTGACCACAGACATGTACACACACACACCCTATGACCACAATCCCCATGACTGCACATAAGCACACACGTACCCAGTGACCATACATACACACGTGCACACACGTACATGGACATGCATGCACCCCAGGACCACACAGGAAGAGACACAGACCATCTCAGAGGGGAGAGCTCTCGGGGCGGGTTACAGCTGGACTTCCTGGCATCTCTGTAACTTCCCTTTTTAAGTAACAGCTAGTTCACTGCAGAAGCACTGGTGAACATGAGCAGCCTGCATTCTACAGGGCTTGGTTTCACTGTGTCATTTAAATTTTCTCAATGTTTTTCCTTCACACCAACTGCGTGTGCTCTGGCAGGGTGTCTCCTTGGTTCGGGGCCTGCTCTTACTTCCCGAGGCTCTCCAGGGAAATCTCCCGTGTGGCTGTGCTCAGAAGCGTGTGTGGACACACAGCCCAGAGGTGAGCTCCCAGACCCCTGAATCCCAGCCCAGTGCCCATCACCTGGTCACCTGGAGTGGTGCCAGATGGTGGGCAGTTCGCTCCCTGCTGCCCAGTCGGGGCCCCTACCTGCCAGGTCACGGGCATACTGCTCTCGGGACCGGTCCATCTGGCACTTGTGACTGGCTAGCACCTTCTTCACCAGATCCAGCATGCCAAAGTTCTGCACGATGTTGTTAAGGAGGACTGCATCTTAGAGGGGCAGACAGAGAGTCAGGTCAGGAGTCCCTGGAGGCGGCTGGGACCCCAGGACAGGGCCTGCGTCCACGGGGTCCAGCTGGCCAGTTTGAGACCCGCCAGCAGGATCCTTCAAAGGGTCACCCTCTTGTGCTACCGGAGCCATGGGCCGGCTGCAGGCCTCACCTCGGAGCTGCAGTGGGGGGTCCTGGGCACGCTGCTGAAGGCCCCTCATGGTCCCCACCAGCTCCTGGTGGAACTCCTGGATGACCTCGTCCAGTAGCCCAGCATCCTTCAGCCCCCGCCAGAAGGCGAACGTGTCGTCTGTGGAGGCAAGGTGGGCTCAGTGGGCAGAAGCCCTGTGCAGGGCACCGCCCAGCCCCGGCCCCAGCACAGGGGAAAGCCTGGCCACAGGCAGGCAGCATACCCCCGATGGACGTGGTCCAGTCTCCAGGGTCCTCGCAGGTCTCAATTGTAATGGTCGCAGGAGAGCCGTTCACTGCAACCAGATAGGAAGCATGTGTGAGCCTCATCCCGGGGTGACCGGCCTCCTATGATTGCTCCAAACTTTACCCACCAAACACGAAAAGGGTCAGCCCACAGCAGGCCAACAGGGTCAGCCCCTCTGTGCCAGCCACTGGAGTGTTAACACAGCTTCTCAGGACGGACTGAAGGTCAGACGCAGCACTGCACCTCCCGCTACTCACGCAGACCTCAGGATGGATGACATCGGGGGGAAGACGGGCCCCAGCACCAGCACCTCCCCTCTCCCAGACACAGGCCATGACCCTCAAAGGCCACCCCCTGGGCCAGCAACAGATGCTAGGGCTGGTCAGGCAGGCCACAAATCTGGCCCCGGCACCGCAGGAGGGACAGCTTAGGGACAATGCAAGTGGTGTCACTGGAAATTACCAGGTCATGCAACCGAGAAACTGAGGATTCAACTCCTCTCTAACTCCAGTTTTAAAAAGACTTTCTCTATTGATGAAGACTGAGGGAATTCCAAGGAACACTTACTCTTCCTGTGAGTCAGAGCTAAGATACCACCCTGGAGGAACACCACGCACACACCAGCCTCACCTGGTGGCAGGGCACTCAGAGGACACCACGCAGGCAGATGACCGCGCATACACGTGCCCCCGGACACACGCACACCCCGTGAATACACACGTGCACACACACACGACCATGCATACACATGCCCCCCCACAGCCCATGAACACACGTGCACACACGTACACACCATGACCACAGTGCACACATTCCATGACCACATACATGTGCGCACACACCCTGTGAACACAGTACACACACCCCGTGACCACACACACGCATACCCCGTGACCACACATGCATGCCCACACGCACACCCCGACCACACGCATGCCCAAATGCACACCCCGACCATACCCACACATGCCCACGCACACCCCGTGACCACACACACACATGCCCACACACCGTGACCACACGCATGCCCACACCCTGCGACCACACATGCACGCCCACACGCACACCCTGACCACACACGCACGCCTGCACGCACACCCCGACCACACGCACGCCCACACGCACACCCCGACCACACGCACGCCTGCACGCACACCCCGACCACACGCA